TGATCCCTTGCAAAGCCCAACAATTGCTGCTACTGCCCTGTTAGCTTACACAACTGAATGTAAATTATCTTGAAATGTATGTAGTTCTTTAAACAATATATTATTGTTTTAAGAAAGAGCAAGACAAATGCAGGCTTTGTGAGTTGCAGATTTTATTACCTGGCTAATAAGGCTAAGGAAAGCATCATTAATTGGTTGAAAACATTGTTTTATGTTGAGACGTTTTGATTTTAGAGCCTTGAATATGAAGCATAATTTGTGTGCAGTTATTCGGATAAGGATTGGATGTTTTCATATCCAATATTTCTTCTGCAAGCTCAGTTGTACCATCGCCACTAATGAGCTGCTAATGATGTGAAACAGAGAGTGGAGTGCCAGATGTCGTAGTCCTTTAACCTGATAACTCATAAGCGTAGTTCATGGGTTACTGCATTAAACTGATGATGGGTACAATTACGATGCCATAAGGACTTTTATACTCCACCCTGTCAGTTAAAGTCGCTGATTTCAGCACAGGATTTGTTTTAAGAAATCAATTTGGTATAAGTATGCTGATTTCATGGGAATATTGTTAAAAATAGACTCCCAGAGATGACATTTACGCAGCTGTATTGAGAATTCCTTGATCCATGATGTGTCCATACTTCAATTTAATTTAACACTATTGTTGTTGGTTGTTCCTAGAGTCTCTAAAAGTACAATGGGAGCCAGAGCCTTTTCTTATCAAGCTCCACATTTGTGGAATCAGCTTCCAGTTTGTGTTTGGGCGGCAGACAACCTATCCGTTTTTAAGAGTGCGCTTAAGACCTTCCTTTTTGATAAAGCTTATAGTTAGGGCTGATTAGATTCAGCCCCTAGTTTTGCTGATATAGGCTTAGTTTGTCGGGGGACATCTTACTTCTTCCTTCTCTCTGTCTATACCTGTGTACTCATGTTCCGATTAACCCAGCTTCCCCAAATGTCTTTCTTTTTGGTGTCTATATACGCTGGGATCCGGAGTCATGGATGATCCTGTTGCTGCGGTCCTGTGTCCTGCATCGCGAGCCCTGGATCTTGAGTCGTGGCTGTGGTCTTGGATCATAAGTCCTGGATGGATATCCTCGTGGATTCATCTTCCTATTATACACACATGCATTTCCAAACATTTGGACTACCTATGTTGCAAATGTATTATCTTTTCAATTTACACACGGCATCTATTGCACGTCTGTCCGTCCTGGGAGAGGGATCCCTCCTCTGTTGCTCTCCCTGAGGTTTCTCCCATTTTTCCCTTTAAACTGTGGGTTTTCTCCGGAAGTTTTTCCTTGTACGATGTGAGGGTCTAAGGACAGAGGGTGTCGTATTGTCATACTGATATTCTGTACAAACTGTGAAGTCCACTGAGACAAATGTAACATTTGTGATATTGGGCTATATAAATAAACATTGATTGATTGATCCACATTAATTTGATGTTTTCTTCATTTGAATTGCTTTTACAGGTTATTCTGTTTTGGTATGATCAATTTATGTATTCTCACAGGTAAAAGTAAACCATGGGAGACTGCAAGGTGTAACTCCATCAATGATGTTGTCAGTCTGTCGGTCCACAAGTGTCTGTAACCATTGGATGGATTGCCATGACTTTTGTTTTAAACATTCATGTTCCCCTCAGGATACATTTTATCCTCTACTATGGTATGATGTTGCCTCCAGGCAACATACCCATTTTTTGCCTTTTATATTCACACAATACATCTCAAATTATGATGCAATACTTTAAAAAAGAGGCAGGACCATAAGGAACCAATAGTAGTGTTTGAATTTGTCCCATGACTCTCTGGCGGCCAATTTGAAGACCCTGTTTGCCGCCTTTCCCACAAGGATCAGCTCAGCCATTTCTCTCCAAGAAATGTGTCTAAAAACGTCATTTCCTGCGCATTTCTTGTCTGGAAAAAAATGTATTCACAATAATAGGTGAGTAAACCTTCATTTCTAATAGTTTAATATACTTAATTAGCTAATTAGGTAATGGAAACTTGTTAAAATGCAAATGTTGCCTGGAGGCAACATCGTACCATTATGGATTCACCATGATATTGGGGTATTGTGTGTTTAGGTATAAACTGTTCAAAAGCATACCTTTCATCGTAGATCTCTACAATGTAACCAAGATACATTTGATGTTAAAGCCAACCCAACGATCTGTGGAAAGATGGGATAAAAAAAAGAAAGAAACATTGCAGGTTACCTGCCCAAGTGTCGTGCATGCATACAATACAAGTATGGGAGGAGTGGATCTTCTAGACTCGCTGATTGCTCTCTACAGAACAAAGGACAGGTCAAGGAAGTGGCATCACAAGATCGTGTTGCACATGATGGATTTCACTCTAGTGAATGCGTGGCTCTTGTACCGCAGGGACTGCAAGGACTGCGGCATCCCCAAGAAAGAAGTGTACAGCCTGCTGAAATTCAAAGCTGAAGTTGCAAATTGTCTTTGCAACGAGAGGAAAGTCTTGAAAAAGAGGGGGAGACCATCTCATAATGTTGACAGAGACCTGGCTGAGGAGAAGCACAGAGGTTCTTCCTCATCAGTGCCATCAACACCTGTGCATCAAGACCACACTGACCATTGGCCTGTGTGGGTGGAGAAAAAGGGCCGGTGCAAATACCCTGGCTGCAAGGGTGAAAGTGCAGTGATCAAAGTGTGTCATGTACCTGTGCTTCACTGCTGACAATAACTGCTTCATGAACTTCCACAAGCAGTGAGTCTATTTTGTCTAATGGCTCAATAAAGTTTGATGAAAGATGCCTAGGCTCTTCGCGTATTTATTCCTAAAGGTTGTTTCACAATGGTACAATGTGCCTGCAGGCAACATTCAGACATGTAATCTTGTTAAAATATAAAAAATAACGATTTTCACATTTGAATTGGCATGCAATTTAACCTGTTGAGACTATTTAGTATTTTTCATGTGTTTTTAAATAAATGTTGTCCAAATTTGAAACAATAACTCTCTTTTTTCATAACTTACCATTATGGTACAGTGTTGCCTCAAGTCAACGCTACGGTGGCCGGCAGGTGCAAACGCTAAACAACGGCCAAAAACACACACATAAGCAGGAAACACCTGCAAATAATGAAATGAAAAACCAACAAACCCTGAAAACACATACAACAGAAAAACGCTGCATTTACAGAAATGATATGCAAAGTCAAAAGCACATACAACCGAATAACGTTAAAAAAAAAAAAGACATTACAAAAAAAAAGCATTCCGGAAGTGCTTCAGGCCTCTAGGGGGCGCGCTACGTGGAACAGATTGATGTATGACCAGACATAGAGAGAACGAACAAGAGGAAATAAAGTTCATTTAAGTGGAGAAAGATATAAGAAGGTAAGTTTTGTTTTGTTTTTATACATAGAGCGTCATATTTACGTAGCTAGCGTTAGCGTGTTTGATCAAAGAGTTTGCAAGAGCCATTGTGCACCTAAATGTAACTCTTGACATAATATACTGTAGATATATAAGGCGCTTTCACACTGCGGTACTTTTCCCACAAAGGTTCATGTGAACTTAGTTCATGTGAACTCTTTTATCGCGTTCACACCAAAAAGAGCCGGTACTAAAATTAGTTCATGTGAACCTTTTTACCCCCTCGTAAGTGTCGAGCGGCTCTTTTGTGAGAAAAGAGCTATATTTCTGATTGGCTGGAAGGATTGCAAACCACGCCCCGCAAAACTCCCAAAAAGTTTTGTGAAGCCGCCATTTTATTATCCTCGCATTAGCATTATTAGCATTAGCATTAGCCCAGCGCAGAAACGCAGAGAGACTAACTTATGGCAACACAAAATAAAACATGGGAGCGGTGGAGATGAGGAGGTGTCGGCGTTCTGGCGATTTACTCGGAAGGCTTCAGTAGAAGCTGCTGGGAGTCCCAGCAGCTTCTACTGAAGCCAGTCCCCAACTCCGGGGACTTCCGGCCGGGGACTTTGGGCGGCCGGGGACTTTGCCTAATCCACACCCAGGGACTTTTTCCAGTGTGAACGCGATCTGTACTTAGTTCATGCGAACTAAAGAGTTCACATGAACTAAGTTCACATGAACCTTTGTGGGAAAAGTACCGCAGTGTGAATGCGCCTATAGTATATAACCGGGACGCCCCTCCCTACACGCAGATCACACAGACTGGGTGGGGTCTCACGCCCTCACCTCGTGGAGGGGGCCTCAACTGAGCCGCAAATGCGATGCGGTGATAAAAAGGAAATCAAATGTAAAAAGTTGAATTAAAATATTAAAACAGCAACACAACATTATTCCCACATTAAAAGACAGTCTGAAGAGGTGTGTTTTGAAGGTGGGGGGGTTGGTGCAGTCTCTGATGTTTAATGGGAGTGAGTTCCAGAGGAAGGGGGCAGCGATGGAGAAAGCTCTGTCCCCCCAGGTTCGGTGCTTGGTTTGTGGGGGGATAGACAGGAGGTTGGCTTCTGATGAGTTAATTGAAAGACCGTTCTTTAATACTATTATAATATTTAGGTAGCCGAAAAATATCCACTCTTTTTGACTTAACCTAGCTGTCCTACATTTTATTCCTCCACAGATGTACTGTCCATTCTGTGGTTCCAGCGTGACATCTTCGCATGGCTTTTGTGGTGTCTGTGGCAGAGACATCACATTTCTAAAAGATGTGACTAACAAAGTCCCTGAGGAGATGCCCACCACTAGTGCGCATCTAAGTGCACAGTCTAGCACCAGTGCAGGTAAATAGGTTGTTCGTTTTATTACCAAACAATAAGTATTTATAGAAAACTTGGTTTAAAAGTTCGAATTCTGTTATTATACAAATACATCTCTAAACTATGTGGCTTACCAACTGTTGAATGTGTTATAAGATGTTCCTCAGAAGGGATTGAGGATGAGACTCCTATTGAACATAATGAAGAGTAATGAATGTTTTATTCCTGTTTTTTTGTAGCAGGAAGCTCAGCTGTAGAGTCCTTTCAAAAATATAGGGAAATAAAAAAGAGGGGGAGACCTTTTTTACAAAGGGACGGCATAACTCCAAAAATAAACAGAAATTGGTGAAGGTATGCAACGTTTTCTATTATGAATACATCTGTCATTCAAATCTGCTCACCCCACTCTCATATAATGTCCGAAAAAATGTTTTATTCATTTGCATATTATTGTCTTTTTGCAGATTTCTGTTGGAGTAATGAGGAGGATGGATGGCTGCCTTAAACCTGTGAGAGGGAGGTCACTTCCCCTTAATGTTGAACCTCAATGGGCATGTGAAGAACTGTTGGCTGCTGCCATAAAAAAGCAGAAAGCCTTTAACCAGGACTTGGAAGATGGTGCCCATGTCTTGTTGTACCCTGATGCGAGGGTGATAACAAATATCCCCGGAACGGACACCCCTTTCACAGTACAGATGTACAAAGAGGCCATTGGAAAGCCCTACCAACGAATTACGTTGTACATCTGTACTCTTGAAGCCGTTGAAAACAGTTGTAAGTGCTTCTGACATATATTCCCCCTTGTTTAAAGCACTAAACTGTATAATAGTTCAAATGTAAACATAACAGTTGTTCTGTCTATATTTCTTAACACAATTCATTCCACCCATCATTCCTTTCTCTTCGTGGTTGAACTTATGACGTCAAATGGTCTTTTATGAATAGTGGCAGAAGAAATGGAATTTAAGTATCAACAAAAGCTTCCAAACTTTCCTTCTGTTCAAACTAAATATAAATTCCCTCTTAAGGATTGTAATTCTAAATTAACCTTTTTTCTCACAACAATGTTGGTTTGTTGTGCCCTAAATCCTAATGTGAGAGTGAAAAAGACGGTCAACAATATAATGTACATTTCACAAACATTTTGTGTTTCAATTGAATCCTTTCTGATTGATGTTAATCCAATAATTCAGGATTCAAACCAACATTTGATGATAGGTACAGACGTAGGGGAACAATTATTTGTATAGTATTAATCATGACACTTTTATTTTCTTAGGTTACACTGGAACAACCTCTTCAAGTGACGAGGACAGTGTGGTTGTTGCAAAGTTGCCATCTGGAGACAGTCTTGCTGACACCGTGGTCAGTTTGGATCTATCGTGGCATTTATTCTTAATTAAAGTGAATTTATTTTATTTCAGTCAGTCATTTGTGTGTTGTATGCAGGTGTGGGACTTTCCAAATAAACAGAGCACTCCCAGAATGGACAACAGTTTGCCAGGGTAAAATAAAACATTGTCAACATGTTATTTTGTGCCACAAGAAGCAGAATGTTTTAACAGTACAGTAGTTTGAATATATTTTTTGTTTACCTTTATCAGACCTCTCAGGCACCCACAACCAGCGTCTGATCGGGTAAGACTAATTAAACATGTAATTATACCATGTAGGTTTGAATTTGTGAACATGAAATCAATAAATACCTTTGTAATGTGTGCTAATGACACTGTCATTAGATAAACTGCATCATTATTTATTGGGTAAAAGTAGGATGGAGAACCAACCCCATTCCAGGAAGAGGTCCAATCTGCCCCGGGTCAGAACACCTTCTATAGGTAAACGATGTTGACAGTTGCATCGTGACACAGTTGTTTGGTGTGTATTTTTATTTGTACATTTGGTTGTTTGCATAGCCTCCAATCCCAGTGGGTAATATTGCCAGGAAGCAGAACAATTATACTTTCATACATTTCCAAAGGACACCCACAACATCTTAGTGAAGACGATACAAAAAACACCCACAAATATTTTTCAAAGGTCAGATATTGTTTGTTGCATCCATTTCAAATGTTTACAAGGATTGTGCAGGAGTATGACAAAGTGCTGTTGTCAGTTTAGAACCCAATGTATTAAAAAAAACAGGAAGAGGATCGACATCCTTTTGCAAATATGACTGTCATGCATATATTATGTATTTGAAAGTAATTATTCAACTGTCTTCTCACTGCAGCAACTACACAACTGTGTATGCACTTATCATTATTGATAGCCAGTCTGAGCCAGAAGAGGAAACGGAGCAAACTGCAGAGGAAATGTATTAATTGTTACTTGTATCACTTAATCTTTTTATTCTAGACTGTAAATCTTATTACTAACTTCATCATTTAATATTACAATACATCACTTTGTCTTTCCCAGCACAGAATACCTGACTGCGCCAGACATTGTTGTAGAACTCTCTGCAACAATTTAAAATACCTCTTGCAGCAGGTTTAATATTAATAGAACCAATGTATGGGATGGAGCAATCCACGGCTTCAAACGGGCCTCATTGGACCCCTCTCATCAGATGCAAGTTTACTGACGATGAGGGACAAACTGAGGATGGAGTGGACACTGGTGGTCCCAAGCGTGAGTTCCTGAATATTTGATGGTCCACAGGACAGGAAATTCCTCAAGTTCGACAATGCAGGTAATGATGTTCGCAAATCTGTCTTATGTTCAATACTGTACTGTAAATATAGGAGCTGCTTATGGATTTTGCAGCTTGATTTACTTGACAATTAAATGATCTTATACTGTATATCTTTATGATAACGTGGCAACTGTTGGTTAACGTGATACTAATTTAACAAAAAATATCAACAGCTGCAAAAGATGACGAATACTTTCATGCTGGGAGGATGATTGCAACTTCTATAGTTCAAAAACACAAGGAGAAAAAGAAGAAAACATGTCATGGCTCACTGTCTCAAAATCTGATTCTAAATGTATAATGTTCTTTATAAAGATATAACTAATACACAATTATGAATGTATAATATAAGCTGTTTTGTGTATTTAATCATGCGTTGGTCTACAATTTAATGATGGCTTCTACATATTTCACATAAACAGACAATGAAAAAATGTGTCCTTCATGCTGATAACTAGTGTATGCATCTGCAATTAGTATTCTAAACAGAGTAGTGTGTTGAATCCTTATTTCTTGCATTTGAAACAGATACAATAACAAAAAGTGAACTTACTGTTGTGTTCAACTTCTGCCAAAAACTGTACATGTTTGCCACAGGAGCCACAGAACACTTGAACTGTCCCCAGATGTTGACCACAGAAAGGACACAACATGGCGGCCTGAAAATACATACATTGATGTAGTAAATCCATGTAATCAAGTCAATCAAAAACACATAGTCTAAATAGTGGTTAGCTAAATAAATAGATACATCATGTTCACCGTTGAATCTGTGATTTGTCTCTCTCTCTCCTTGAATGTCTAATGCACACTACTATCCTGTCATTACTTTGTCCCTCTTCACATTTTGTCACTTTCTCTCTCTCTCTTTCTCTCTCAATTCAATTCAATAGCTTTATTAGCATGACCATAGTTACAGGCAATTGCTAAAGCTCTGTATAGTAGCAACATCTATACACAAATACATAAATATAAACAAACTGCTAAGAATTCAAATGTCCTTTTTCCGCGGTACTCACTATGGCCCGTGTTATTTGCCTGCACTTGATTTGTCATCTCTTTCCAATGTTCTTCCCTCACTTTATCTTCTCTTCACGTGAAGCTCTCCTCCCTCAGCTGGTGTAGTAGTTAGGCACGCTAACGCTAGCTATATAAATATGACGCTCTATGTATAAAAAAACAAAACTTACCTTCTTATATCTTTCTCCACTTAAATGAACTTTCTTTCCTCTTGTTCGTTCTCTCTATGTCTGGTCCAGAGCCGTATAATAGAAGAGTTATGACATCTCCGTTCACTCCAATGGACCACTTTTTTACAGCAATGGCGGATCGTGGAGCCTCTCATTCGTTCCCCGGAAGTTAGCGCCAAGGCTAGCAGAGCGGTAGAGTTGCAGCATAATAACCGTTCGTGACGGACTTTTAAAGGTAAGAAGAAGTTTAAAGATTTATATTGCGGATATTATCAGTACATCTGATTCAAATTAACATGTGTATTAAAGGATGTCAGTGGATTATCCCTAAATCAGTAGATTTAGGGAACGTTTACAGATAACAGATCAAGCTAGGATACCGAAGCAAGTTAGCAACAGACGTTGAACAACCTTTTAATTGTAAATTCCGTTCTCTTAATGTCATTTGGTCCAACGTTGTTGAATTAGAGAACAGGGGCTTCTAAACGGGATTGTATGCGGGGGTGGAGGGAGTTAAATATTAGATAAATATAACTTTGGTGCGTGTAATAGTGAGTGTTTTTAGCAGAGCCATATTGTGTCCTTGTGATTATGTTGATTATTACCTGCCTGTATAATGTTGCAGCTCAGCTGATTTTGGATTGATGGCAAAGGGAGAGGGACTTAAGTGAGTGTGAAAACACAAGGTAAGTTTAATACTACTGTTTTATATAAGTAAGCATACTAAACATGTATTCTATCACTGTATTATATAAGTAATCTTGTTAGTAACCTACTGTATGGCAGGTGGAGGGGCAGTGATGTTACAGGTGGAGGAGCAAGACTGCAAACTCACAAGACAGAGAAATCAAAGTTTGTTCTCCAGAGAAGAGGTTGATTTCACTTCAATTTTTTATTTCATATTTTCTAAAGATGTGGAAATGGCAACAAAAAAACACGTGAGAGCTGTAACCAAGACAACTGTAACAACAGGAGTAGAGAGCCACCAAGGTTTTTCAAGTCCCTCTCTTACTCCATTTTGCCAACCCAAACTTCCAGGTACATGACGGGACACCTTGCTTGTTTTTGTTGTTTGCTCTCCTCTGGCTGGGTGCTGGCAGGTGGAGGGCAGTGATGTTGGCAGGTGGAGGGGCAGTGATGTTACGGGTGGAGGGGCAGTGATGTTAGCTGGGTGCTGGCAGGTGGAAGAGCAATGTTTAGTCCAAATATTTCCATTGCAACGGCTAATGGAAATGATTGCAGCTGTGGATCTGTTTGGGGGTTGCTGGGTGTGGTAGCTTGGCTGCTGTTGTTCCTTTTCACCTTTTTGGATTGGCTCTTGCTTCCAAAATGGCCATCTTTTAATTTTATTTTTTTTCTGTCATTTCTGATTTGTTTTGCCTCAATTCTCAGCCTCAGCCGTATAAATCTTTTTACGAGTTTTTGTTGTACTCCACAGCATGACGGAAGCCTGCTGGAGAGGGCCTGAGCTTCTTTCTCCAAGACACCCACTGCGTTGGGGAGCTGCATGAGGGAGGAACCAGTCTTGGTCCTAAATAGTTCCTCAATTTGGTGAATGAAGTCAAAGGCTTCTTGGGAGGGACGACAAAGAGCACCTGCCTTGAAGTCGTTCAAGTCCACTAACAAGCTGTTGTCACCAGAAGGACTCTCATCATGGTGCTCTGTTGCAATTTTGCATTTTTCACAAATGCTGGCAAACTTGATGATTTTGTGGACGATGTAGCCTGCAAGATGGAAGAGAATATATTTCTCAGTTTTTGTGAGGTCAGGTGCTGCTGCTCTGTTCACCGCCATCAGCTGTTCCACTCTGACTGATGGAGTGATTTTTGGCTCCCCTGTGTCCAGGAAGTCTGCCAAAAAGCTACTGTGGTCTTCCTGGTAGCTCCCAGAGCTGATGGTGGTGAGGAACTGCCCCACAGATATGATTCTCAGTGCATGATGGAATTCCACTGGAGTTGGGACAGGATTTTTAGACTTCACACAGCTGAATGTATTTTCAAGGCAGTCTTGTGTGAACCTTGACGTTAACACAAACCTGTGTCCTTGTGTAAGCATCTCCTCTTGTATGGCCAAAATTGATGTTGTTGCCATTATCACCCCTGTTTGAACAGGCTTCCAACCTCCCTTTTGACCTATCTTTATCCCACGAAACAGATGGACGATGTTCTGGAGGAAGGTGATGGCCTTTTGGTACTCCTCCATCTTGAGCCTGCTCAGGGCTGTAATTGGATGGCGAGATGACATCAGATCAAACCAACGATCAACCTGCTCCAGGAACCACGCTGTCGTCAGGTATGACAGAGGGCGGTTTTCTTGCTGCACCATGTATTTCAGCCCAGCACTTGTAGCCTTACTGAACACATTTAGAGCAAGACCAACCTTCATCTTATCAAAGTGACTTGGCTCGATGGCTGCAGCTGAAAGATGGGGAGCTATTTTTAAGGCCATCCCTTCCTGAAAGGTCAATAAGTCCTTAATGGGGACCACAGAAACCTCGTTAGAGGGGAGGTCCTCTCTGTTAACAACATCCTCAGGAATTATGAAGACCTGCCCACGGACAAG